TGGTTTTAGAGAAGGTTGATCACCCTTTCTAGATCCGTCAGAGCGGCTTGTCCTGATGATGACTGAATCAGAATGTCGTCCAGGTAACATTGGACCCTGACAGGCACCATCCGGTGGTGAGCTGCTAACACAGTGAGGACTTTGGTAAAAACTCGCGGGGCCGAGGATAGACCGAAAGGTAACACCCTGTATTGGTAGTGTCTGCCCCTGTAAGCAAACCGTAGAAACCGGCGGTGGCTGAGATGGGGATGTGAAGATAAGCTTCCATGAGGTCTACGGACGTCAGGAAGTTTCCTCTTCTTATGCTTCCGAGAATTGACTGGAGCGTTTGCATCTTGAATTTTCTGTAAACAAGATGCCGGTTCAGTCTTTTTAGATCTAGGATTGCTCTCCATCCTCCTGAGGCCTTGGGAACGACAAAGAGGATGGAGTAGAATCCCCGACCTCTCTGATCCAATGGTACCGGTTCTATGGCCCTTATGTTTACGAGAGGCTGAATGGCCTGTTGCGTCAGCTTTTTCTTTGTGAGATTCCTTGATAGGGGACAAGAGAGGAAGTGATTTGGAGGGTAGGTGAGGAATTCTAGGGAGAGCCCGTGATGAACCGTGTTCAACACCCATGCATCTGTGGTGGTGACCTCCCATTGGCTGGCAAAGAGAGAAAGTCTGCTACCTATGGGAGGGACCATTGGAGAGTCAACTGGAACGACGGAAGGGCCGACCGCTCCCATGAAAGAGTCGTTTGCCCTGAAATTGTTGTCTGGGCTTAGAGCCTGTTCTGTCTGATTGTCTGTCCTGTTTAACAGGAAAGGAGCAGGGCGGATAGGAATAAGTGGAACTAGTCCTTGAACGAAAGGACTGCTTCTGTGAGTATGTGTTGGATCTTTTGTCCAGATGTTTAATAAGGTGATTGAAGACCTTACACTTATCCTTATTCTCTGTAAGGTAAGAATCTAAAGCTTCCCCAAACAACTCCCCCCCCCCCGGTAAGGGACTGCTGACAGGCGCCATTTGGACCTGGCGTCTGCATGCCAGTGTTTCAGCCAAAGCATACAATGACCAGTAACATTGGAAGCCATAACCCTGGCTGAAAATCTGGCCCCCTGCAGTGTTGCATCGGAAGCATATTCCGTTGCTGCCATCATCCTGCTCAAATCCTGGTGGGTTCAGATATCTTCCACCGGCATACTGGCCTGGAGCTGTCTCAGCCAGCGGAGAGCAGACCTATTGAAGAAAGAGGCCGATGTAGCTGACCTAATAGCCCAAGCTGTAGCTTGGTGTGTCTTGCGAAAGGTGAGCTCCTTTTTACGTCTTCTGCCTTTAGGGCATCAGACACGTCCCCAGGAGTGGCAGTGGGAGATACCAGGGGTCCCAAGGGTTCATCCACCTTGGGGACCTCTAGGGCATCTGCCAAGTCCTGGGCCACGTTATAATCTTTTATCACTGCCACTTGGGATGGAAGGGTACCTGGGAATTCCCACTGTTTCCTGATCGCATTCAGAAACATAGAAGGACATAGTATGCGGTATTGTGTGGTTACCAGTTCAATGAAGTTCAGATCCATCTCCGAGTCCGGAGCCGCAGTCAAAGTTATTGTAGAAGGCTCGGGATCAAGATAGGCCGTGGAAGTGGCCTTTCGGAGTAAGGGAACAAAATGAGACGGATTAAAGAGACCCGTAAAGGATGGCATTTCAGGAGGGTCTTCCTCCTGGTCCGACATCGGAATCCCCACATCCGCATCATACTCATGAAAGGATGAACCCTCAGAGTAAGAAGATTGTGAAAGTGAAGTAGGTGCACCATATGCCTCCGTCGTTGGCTGGTGAATCGGTAGGGAGAAACCAAAGTAGCCCTAGGTACCTGAGATCTAGCCTGAAAGGTGCGCTCTACCACCTGAGCAATCAACTCATTTAGACGGTCCTCTGTGGACAGAGGAACCGGCTCTGGTAGTCTGAGTCCAGCCGCTGTGGGGGTAAAAGTGGCTTCTGGGGCGGACTGCAGAGCCCGCTGAGCCACAGGTTGCAAGATGTGTTCTCGATGAGATGAATCACCCGGTAGAGTGGTAGAGACTGTGTCTCCTGTGGACCAGATTCCGAGAGGGGAAGTGGAGGGTCCCAGTGGTAAATCAAATGAAGGAACTTCAGCCTGAGTGGCTTCAGTCCTGGTCTGTTCTTGGGCTTTAGAGAATACCCTCTCTAATGCCCTGTGTCTCCTACTGGCCTGTTTTTCCTCCTTTTTAGATGTTTTTCCTGCAGATCTAGCCTTGGCCGAAATCTTACCTACCGCCTCTTGGTTTGAAGATTTCTGTCATTTTGAGGCTGATGAGAGAGGTGAAAGTCCCTTCTTGGAAGAGCCAGATTCTTCCATCCTCATGGATTATTACAGAAGCACGATTGGGTACTCCTGGTAACCAGAGGCAGCTGTTTGTCTATTCTGGATAAGCACAGGAGCACGATAGGGTACCCCTGGAATCCAGAGACAGCTGTTATTGTCTACTTGGATAATCACAGATGCACAATAGGGTACACCTGGTATCCAAGGACAGTTAATTTGTGGATAGCACAGGTGACGATATGGTACACCTGGTATCCAGGAACTACTAATTTATGGATAACACAGGTGCACGATAGGGTATACCTGGTATCCAAGGACTGCTGATTTATGGTTAACACAGGTGCACGATAGGGTACACCTGGTAACCAATGACTATTAATTTGTAGATAACACAGGTGCATGATGGGGTACACCTGGTATCCAAGGACTGCTGATTTATGGCTAACACAGGTGCACGATAGGGTACACCTGGTAACCAATGACTATTAATTTGTAGATAACTCAGGTGCACAATGAGGTACACCTGGTATCCAGAAACTACCAATTAAGGGATAACACAGGTGCACGATAGGGTACACCTGGAATCAGTTGTGGGTAAACCCAGATGCACGAAAAGGTACACCTGGAATTCAATGCTGCTATACAGGGAGAATCAAGGACCTACTGTGTGTAAATAATATTGAGTGTATATGAGGAGACACCAGTTCAAATTCTGCTAGAAGGAGAGTGTTACTAAGAATAACTGTTTTGAAAAAGGATTCAGTGCAGGCTCCAAACAAAAAAACCAGAAAATCATGAAAAAGAACTGTTAGTTCTCAAAATGGCGGATTCAAGATGGCGGCCGATGCGAAAATGAAACTCACTGAGACTGTTCAACAACAGAGAATGGTGTTCAGATCCACAAAATGGCGGACGCAATTCTTAACAATTATTTGGCCACCACTATGCGTCTCTGAGCCTCCCTATAGGATCCAGAGAACTCCTCCATTGAGAAAATCACTAAAGAGCTTCAACAGAGCAGTTGAAGCCTTCAAAAAGCAAAAGGAGCTCGCCTGCCTCTGCTGCCCTGCTTGGCCACCTAATTGAACCGCCAGCCAGCTGATTCGACGAAAAAAAAAAAACCTGTTCAGGGCAGCATGTGCTCAGGGGCTGCAACAGGGGCTGCAATAGGGAAGCAACGATCCCTCAGCCTCCCAGAACAGCAAGGACAGCCCGTAAATAACAAGAAAAGGCAAAAAAAACAGCGTTTTAAACTGCTCATAAGCCTGCCTGCTGATTAGCACTTCCACCCCCCCCCCTTGAATCGTAACTCTTGGAGCTGCGTTCCAGATCCCAATCAGGGAAGGAAACTAAAGCAAAATAGAAAGGACAACTATGGTTGTTCCTGGAGAATTATTAAATGGAACTGAACTTAATAGGAATCCAACAGAGAAGGTTAGGGAGGATAGACGAAAACGAAACTGAAAGACAACAAAACGCAGAAAGAGAAGCTGATCCCAGCCTCACTTTAAGGTTAAGAGGGGAAGGAAGGGGGTTGAAATAAACAGCAATCTGACTCCAGTGCTGAGCCCAGCACTGATCAAAAAACTATTTAAAGTCAAGGAAAGATGGAAAATCCACCAATGGAGACTATACCTGCCTAAGAGCCAAACTTGCATGTCTGTTCACGGGCAAGATCAAGTCAAGACTGGGACCTTCTGGCCCAAGAAAGGCATGGCAACTTTGGCTGACTTGATCTGATTGGGCAAGAACACAGTCTAAACCCATTGGTGGATTCTCCATCTCCAGTGCTGGAGAATTCAGCTGATTGGAAGATAATGTTCCAGCCATCACACTCTCAGTTTCTTCTTTAACAGGGCCTAGCTGTTTGAAGGAGCACATCTGTAGTGGCTGTCTTCAGGCTCCCTTTCACCAATGTGACTGCTGAGGAAAAAGGAAAGATTCCTCCCTCCAGAAAGCCTAAGTAATTCCTATTTTTCATCTTTTTGGAAAATGGGAAGATTTTTTAATGAAGAGTTTTGAGTTAGTCCTCAACCTATGACTACAACTGAGCCAAAATTTCTGTTGCTAAGCAAGACAGTTGCTAAGTGAATGATTTTTCTTGCCACAGTGATTAAGTGAATCACTGCAGTTGTTAAGTTAGCAACTTGGTTGTTAAGTGAATCTGGTTTCCCTATTTTTACTTATCATGTCACAAAAGAGGATCACATGACCTCAGGACACCGCAGCTGTCATAAATATGAGTCAGTTGCCAAGCATCTGAATTTTAATCACATGACCACAGAGATGCTGCAAGTCATAAATGTGGAAAATGATCATAAGTCATTTTTTTCAGTGTTGTTATAACTTCAAACAGTCCCTAAATGAACTGTTGTAAGTCCAGGACTACTTGTATTTGGCATTTCTTAATGGTACAATCATTTTAATGCTGCTCATGCAGTAAATTTAATACAGCTTCCTTCCTCATCTCTGTTACTATTACTGTATTAGTAGTATCTAAATGTTATTGTACACTGTTTTCATTCATCATAAGACATCATGCAAACCTTTATAAAGAACAGAAAGGATATTGACTTCTAAACACCAATAAACCAAACAAAGTTCCTAAAAGCAATGGAACAACCTATTTATAGCAGTAAAAAGAAAACCTGGAAATGTTTTACTTACATGTGCCTTTTCTTCATCACTTGGCATACTATCTGTTGTTTCACTTTCTGCTGGACACAGTAGGGATAAAAATATGAATTCTAAAGAAGTATGAAGCCAATATAAACAGAAATTCACTACGGTTATTTTGTTTTAACCATGATCGGCTACATTTTCTCATATACAAGAAATTATTCTATATCTGTCTAATGAGATTTATGTAAAACCAGTTAGGTCATATTAACCACTGAAACCGAGGGAAAAAGTAATCTAAAATGTAGATGTAATCTAAAAAGTAATCTAAATTTATGAGTAATCATAAATTTATTTTTTTTAAAAGCAATAGAATTGCTTGCATCTGAGGGCCAAAGGCGAACACTATTACTATGTGTAAACTTGCTTCAGGATCAAGAGGTTATTTTCAACTATTCCTGCATTTGCAGCCATGATTGTACATAGAGACTCTGCACATTACTATGGCTTACTTGCAAGTAATGTTATTGGCTCCATGCCCAAGAAACAGTAAAACTTATTTTACTTGATAATGTTTATCTAGACTTAAGGCTGCTTTTTTCAATTGAAGATACATTGATTTCCCAGTAAATTATGTTTTACCAAACATTATTTGTCTTTGGCTGTATTATGATATACCTGAAAGATGAAATGCATGACAAGATTTTATGCATAATAGCAGATAAAGACTAAATCATTGGTAAAGCAGCTGCATTACATACAATAGGTCTCAGACTGAGTCTTAGATTTCACATAGAGAAATACAAAAAAGACCCTGATCTGAATTCCTGGAGTCCATATAAACGACAATGATTTCCATTTTTAAAGACAGTTTTATATATATATATATATATATATATATATATATATATATATATATATATATAAAATGAAGATTAAATGCTCTTCAAAATAGCTACTGTCTTTAAGGAACTAAAAATTTTATTGACTGAGTTTTATTAAATTTAATTTTAAGTACTTTTAAGGAGCATTCAAATTTAGTTCCTATATCTGATTTCAATACAGCTTTCTTTCTTAGAAGAAAATTGTTTATGTTGATTACAATGGTTTTCCCAGAGCATCAATAAAATCACTTCCAAGTAACCTATGCAGAAAAAGAAACATTTGTTAAAAATTCTAGTATTACAAAGCTACTGACCTGCATAGGAGACAGGAGAGATTTGTAGTGGATATAATTGACTCATGGAGCTGGGCTGGTCATCACATTCTGTTGTTACCTCTACTACTTGGCAAATATCTGGAGGATTGGGAACTATCATGTGATCCCCAGAACCAACCTCAAAGTGTGATTCTCCTACAACTGGATATGACAACAAAATATAATAATGGTGATGACATGCAGTCATATGAAATAATAGCATATTTTCAGTGATTCTGAATGCACTATGGTTTATCATATTTTTATACCATAAAAGGAGAAAACATCAGAGAATCTAGTTTACAAAATTCCACAGTTCAAAGGGATGTTGTGGATAAGGCATATGGGCAGTGAATATATATAAAAAAATTGGTTTACTGAGTCATTCTTTCCCCATCACCACTCGGAGTCAATCAGCTTGTTGAGAATATTTTATTACAACAGCACCTTAATCACCTCACACATACAGTGTGGGAGGGCACTCAGAATTTTGATAGTGGATGAAGCTTGTATGTACAGGAAGAATACCTTTTTACTACTTCAGGCAACATGGTCCAAAAGGGAGGAAAGAAGGGAGGGAAGAAGGGTGATAATTAGCAAAACCAAAGTTTGCAGAGGCCATCATAACCTTGCCACTGAACTAATCAAAGAAAGGGAAGAAATCTAATAAATTAATCACTTAATCACTTAGTGTACTAAAATTGTACTTTGTGAATGAGAATAGGCATTATTTTTTCTTCAGTTAAAGATGTATTTTAGCTAAAAAAAAAATGACCGTTTTGAAGGACTCCAGCACATTTGTGTTTTTCAACACCTTTCAACACCTCTAATATACCCAAAGAGTCGCTAAATTCATTCCAACAGGAGGAAGAGAGAACAAGATTTGCATTTTTCTTTGACTATCCACAGCACATTTTCTCTATCCCAGGATAGATGTGTAGTATGTGTTCAAGGAACATTGGGTTTTATAAGTTCTACAGTCATATTTACAGTACCCCTTGGACCATTTTTCTAATATGTCATTTGGAAATTGACAGATTAGAAAGGATGGGTTTTGGAAGCCCCAAGGGAGGGAAGGAAAGTTTCCAAAATGAGAATTTTCCCACTCAGATCAGAATTCTTTCGTCACCTAGGTGAAAAAATTCCGAAAATCTTATGTTCAGAGTTGCCCATCCAAAATCTGCTGATCTGCAGTCTTATTTGTGTTCGGAAAGATACAGTGGAATTTAGGGGCACTCATGATTCATAACTCTGATGGGTCTGCTCTAAGCAGGACTATATCTGTAGCCAAATAACTGCTAGACAAACAGTTAAATTTCTTCTTTCACATTTACCATTTCCCAGGAGTTTTGTTCAAGATTCCTAACTAAACCAAGACCTAATTATTCTGTTGCTATGATACATCTGATATATTACTGAACTTCAAAAGTCAAAATCGTTGGTCTAGAAGTTTGCCACGCAAGGAAAAGAATGTGCCGGTCTACCGGAGCCGCTTACCTACAATGTTTATTGTACTGTCAACTTCAGTTTTTATTGCAGAAGACAAGCAGTAATTAGAAAATTCTGGACTTGTTCCATTACTCAGCTGATAAGAGCACTCCTCTGGTTCTTGCTAGAAAGAAAGCAATGGAAGGATGATACATTGGTAGGCACTCAGAAATATATGTCTTCTCCTGACTGGTCATCAGCTAAACCTATCCCATACCATTCCTTTGGCATTCTGCAGGTCAAGTTAAAGCAGACTAGTGTCTCATGCTGTCCAGTCTCAGAACTGAAACACCAGCCATTTTATTCATAAAAATATTCTGCAATCAGAAAAGCAATGCACAGAGTTTATTCAGAGGCCTTCTAAGAAATATGCTTTGCATTAAGAAATTAACTTAGGTATCACCATCTCCAACAACTCTTCTTGTTAAATATTTATCATAGCCTTCTAAATAAAACTTGTGGTTCTAACTAAGATGCATGAATTTAGCAAATTTCTACTTCCTGCAAAATCAAATCCATAACACTTAATTAAGCACTCTTGGGCATCAACTTCAGTGCAAAAAAACCAGGGTCTTACACCTACAAAATGTCCTTTGATAGTAGTACATGTTCTTTCTTCACAAGAGAAATGCAACATGGACAAAGAAATCCCCCTTTTTAATCAATTTCTGATCATATATTTGATAGTCCAGGACAAGAAAGAATTCTTGTATTTGTTTTCATCCCTTTAGTTTAGTTTTTTTGTTCCATATCCTTCAAAGGAAAAAGAAAGTAATAAAAATAAAACCCTCCTTCATTTTGATCATTGAGAGGTTCCTCTAATTTCTAGTTGCTGATACAGAAGGTTGTAGGTATAAACTATGACACCATGAAAATGAAGAAAATGTCCTAGTTTCCAAGTTAGACTTCTTAATAATATGTTCATAATAAAATACTTATTCTGTTAACTAAAAGTTTAATTGTTAATAACAGAAATAATCATTATATTGAATAACGTGCCCTTCCAATACTTGTGCCTTAGTCAGAGTATCTAACAAGTCATTACAATTACCAACCATAATGTCCACCCACAGCAAAAGTACAATATAATAAAAACAGAGATAGATGCAGCAGGAAAACAGAAGTCACAACTGATTTATTTCCAATAAAACAAACATCTGCTGCCTAAGGAGGAAGCTTCTTCCCTCCTCATAAGGCAAAATTCTATATTTCTGTTTCTGTTCCTGAAGCCTGCTAACATACTATTGAAACTGTGTAGATAAAGCCTATGACATTGCAAAGTGCAGTTAGATAACTGTATAGGCTGTTACTAATGACATATGTGCTGACAAGAGGAAGGGAAAGGTCTCTGCCTTGTTTAATGCTTTGTGCAGAATATATTATGAGAATTAACTTTTCAAAAACAAAACCAATTATGTAATACACAGGCAACTGGCAATTATCACATTGTGTCCTCCTAGAGCAGCGGTTCTCAACCTATGGGACGCGACCCTTTTGGGGGTCGAATGATGCTTTCACAGGGGTCACCTAAGACCATCGGAAAACACATATTTCCGATGGTCTTAGGAATCGAGACACCGCTCCTCTATCCGGCCGCCGCCGCCCTCCTCCTCCTCCTCCGTTGGCTCCTCAGCCTCCAGGGCGCCCTTCTCCGACAGTGCCTGCTCCTGTCGCCACAGCGCCATCGCGCGTGCCCCAACTGGCTCAGCTGCGTGGGCGGCCAGCCCGAGCCGGGTCTGGGCCGTTGCTGGCGCTGCCACTGGGCTGCTCCGCCAGAGCCTCCCCCCCTCCCCAGACAATTGTGCGGAGCTGCTTGTGCGTCCTTGCCTGCGGGGAAGGCTGTGTGCCCAGGCCAAAACGCAGCACTTTTCCTACCACTTCTCTTCCCATTGGTCAAAGAGGCAGATGCGATTTCCCCTTCCCTGGTTCTTGTCATCTGCGCTGGAAAGGACAATTTGGGCTATTTTATTACTGGTACCTGTTGCTTGTTTTATTACTTATTGCCTTTGCTGAACAAGGGATAATTGGTTAAAGTGATTTTCAGGAGCTGCAGAATGCCTCCAAGTAAAGCCGCAGCAATTACCCGGCCAATTTTCCCTGCTAGGGCATCTGTGTGTGTCTCCAGACCTTACTGGACTACCATCCCCAGCAGCCCTAAAAAGCACTGTGGAAGAGTGGGGAATGCTGGAAGCTGCAGTTCATCACCATCTGGGAAAACATGACTCTCCAAAGATCCATCCATCCTTCCTTCCTTCCTTCCTTCCTTCCTTCCTTCCTTCCTTCCTTCCTTCCTTCCTTCCTTCCTTCCTTCCTTCCTTCCTTTCGCCTCCTGGCTTTCTATCGATCGAGGCATATTACAGAGCCGCGATCCACTCCCGCGAACCAGCAACGGGGGGCCGAAATCAAAGGAGAAAACTCGTTTTGGGGCTGTAAGAAAGTATCCCTCTCCCCCACCCCGACCCCCGCTGCAAGCAGCACCAGAGTTTGGAAAGGCGCTGGTCCGGGACCCTTGGCTACCGGGGCAGGCTGCCCTGGCTCTGCTCAGATATGGGGGACAAAAAAAATGGCCGGAAGGGAAGAGAAATCATTTGAGCAGACCCCGCTTTGGATAAGGCTTCGCGGCTCGGAGCATTTCGTTTGGAAACGTTGGCACCAGTTTTAATCCAGGCATTTGTGTTTTCTTACCCCTGCGTGCACGCGCCTGTGCATTTTCCCCAGTGGTAGCCAAAAAGGGAGGGGAAGGGGCAACGGGAAGCATCCTTTGATACATCATTTACACTCCCGCCCCCCCAATCAGGCTTATTTGGAAATCGGTCCGACGGACCTGACTTCCTCAATCAGCCACCGAGCGTTAAAATATCTTTCCCTGTCCCTTCCCTTCCCTTCCCTCCTTCCTTCCTTCCTTCTTTCCACCTCCTTCCCTTCCCGTTCAATCTCTCCTTCCTTCCTTCCTTCCTTCCTTCCCCCTTCAATCTCCTTCCTTCTCCATCTCCTTCCTTTCCCCTTCAATCTTCCTTCCTTCCTTCCATCTTCATCCCTTCCCCTTCAATCTCTTTCTCCTTCCTTCCTTCCTTCCTTCCTTCCTTTCCCCTTCAATCTCCTTCCTTCTCCATCTCCTTCCTTTCCCCTTCAATCTTCCTTCCTTCCTTCCCCTTCCCTCCCTCCCAACATTTTTGAGCAAGGAAGAGTAAGCTTCTCCAGCGAGCATTGCTATATTGTTTTTGTGATTAATCACTATGCTTTAATTATGTTCAATTCGTAACAATAAAAATACACCCTGCATATCAGATATTTACATTACGATTCATAACAGTAGCAAAATTACAGTTATGAAGTAGCAACGAAAATAATTTTATGGTTGAGGGTCACCACAACATGAGGAACTGTATTAAAGGGTCGTGGCATTAGGAAGGTTGAGAACCACTGTCCTAGAGAGATGTAAGTATTACACATACTTTTTTGATGCCATAAAATCTCCTGGGATAACAGAACAGATGGACGGGTGAATGCAAAACCACCACCTATCATGGTGCTATTTGCCAAGAGTTCAGTAACTAGAAATCTGAATAACCAAGAAAAATGTCAAAAGTTTTCATGAGCCAGCAGAATAGTCTCAATCCAATGATTAGAAACATATTTTGATAAGAGTGTCTTTATCAGTCTGCTACACTTTGGTTTTCATTTCAATAATCGTGGATTTGAGAAAAGGAGACTCCTTATTAGAAATGCAAATTGGAAGAAGTACATTATATTTCTTCCAGTCACATGGGGAAGTGAAAATGTGAGCGTCCTCTCCCATAGACCATGCTTCTGAAAAGGATCAATCTTCACTTCCAATTATTTAAAATAAAAACCAATTATATTAAGCATATGTTGCAGCTGGGCCAAGTATTTTGTCTGAATGCAGTTTATTGGAAAAAAAGTCTGTTTAGTCCTTTTGATAAAAAGTGTTAATAAACTGAAATAATTTTTCAGAATGGTTTGGAAATTTCTGTATCATAAATTCAGAAATGGTATACATCTTCTTTAGCTTTGAAATGGTAACAAAAAATACCTTAATTTGTTTAACTTTATCTTCCTTGTCAGACTTGGGTTTCTTTCCTGTAGAAATGTAAGAAAAGATATTTACAGTCATTTCCTGACAAAAATTAGTCATCTTGGCTTAAGTCTATTATTTGCAAATAAAAGATTTTCACCTGAATTTAATATAATAATCAGGTCAATAATGCTTGAAAAATACTACTTGTTTAAATCATACTGAAAATACGTGAAGATAGACAAACAGAACTGACATTATTTTCTAAAATCCCCCATGTCAATGAGGAATGAGATCCCTCTCTACACTGGGATTACTGCCAAAGTTGGTCACCATGTGACAGCTCTTTTAGTAAGCGCCTCATTCTTATTTTAGTTACTTTTGTATACTTATAAAATAGTTCATTTTTATCTAATTTTTATCTAATATTAACTATTACTTAGTAAAGTTTTACTAGGAGTAATAATTTTAGGATTTTAGATTTAGGCTTAGATAGGATTAGGTTTTAGACTACGAGTTCCGTAACTTATCAACTTCAAGCACTTGCCGATGAAGTGGGAGTATGTTTTAAAATCTTTTAAACAACCCAAGGAAGCCAAAACAAAAGCTAATACTAAAAGCCAAAGGAGACTCGAAAATAAAGTTTAAAAGGAGGCATAAATTGGATATACAGTTGGGAGGAAACCTTAAACACAACATGACGGCAAGACATCCAGACAACCAAAGATAAAGGACTTATTTCAGATAGGGAACACTGCAAGTAAGCCTCCTTTTTTTCCTCTTTTCCCCTTGTAATCTCTGCAAACAAGTCCTGCTCCTTACTGGATTGGGAGGAGGATGACTGCCTTTCTGTGGAAAATGAGGCTCCACTAGGAGACAGAGGGGAGAACAAGGATAATATTAAGAGCAATTTTAAAGGAGACTTGGACTTGATTGCCAAGAATTGCCTCTTGACAGCACAAACAGTATCTGATCAGCTCTCGGAGGCAAATAAAAAGATTGAAGAATTAAAATTTCTAATGGGAAACTATCTCTCTAAATTAGATAATGAAGAAATAATGAAGCCCATGCTACGAAACTTACTACTACTTTACGAACAGCCCACATGGATCTGGGGCTTCAAGATGGAGAAGACACGGAGGAGAGGCTAGTTCTAAAGAGACATAGGATTGTACTCCACGTTGCTGATATTCCTTTGAACAGGGGCAGGTGGCATAAGAGGTGAGTAATATTTAACTCTCTTTCCCAAATCTTACACATATCCTCTCTATATTGGGAGTACAATAGCTAGTATTATTGTTTTTTTTTCAGTTTCTGGAGTTGTCTTCCAAAATAATAATAATACTTTTCTAATCACCAGCTGCCAAAGCAAGGGAAAAAAAGAAGCTAAAATTTTCTGCAAAATCTTATGAGACTTTGGCATCTCATGTAAAATTTCCAATTTTAATTATTCATGTCAGGAAAGTGAACAATGTATCATTGGGGCTATCATGGTTTGATCCTACTGCTTTTCTTTGACACTAACTCATATCATTATTATATTATCAGAAGGGGATGAATGCCGGGGTCCTTATCATCTTTTACAATATTTTCTATTCCGACTAGCAATGATAGACTTTTCCTCATTTTTTGAAAAGGGTCATTTTTTTTTAACTGGGGGTGCTAGGAATTAATTCAGGACTGTCATCTGCTGGGCTATGCACAGGTTTCCTTTTCTTCTTTGGTTATCAGTTTTAAGAACAGAAAAAAATATGGAATTTGATGATGTCATATGAAATGCTGACGGAGCCAAGACTATTTGCGCTCATCTGTACAGCTGAAGGGAAGAATGGAAATGACTTTAAAGACTTCTTTAAATTTTTCTTTTTCTTAGGTGGTTGCATAAACTTAGTAGAAGTGCCTGTGACTAAATAAAGAATGCCTGCCTATTTATCCACATGCGCCTAATCTGTCTTTTCCCAGATTTCCGCTCTGGTTTCCTACATGTGTTGTGGCTGTAAGCTTTATTTGTTTTGATCAAGTGGAAATTCTGTGAATTGGAGTCTCAATTTATCAGGAAGTCTCTTAAAAAGCAGTTAGCTGATGTCCAACAAGTCACTAATTATCATAGTCCTTTTGTTTACCTTTCTTAGAAGGCCTCTCGGATAACGGCAACATCCGATACACTCTGAAAGCATTGTTGCCTTTCTTGATGCTTTTGTCTTTAACTTCTTCTATATCTGGCAAGGAGTTCATCGCACATCGAAAATTGGCCTTCCATGTTTTTGGATCTGCTTTATCGACTCCTGGCTGGTACTTTCCTAAGCAAAAAGGGAAGAAGAAAAAATCTTGGTAACCAGAATTTATCTTGAAGTGGAAAAGACTGTTGTTGCAACACCGGTTTAAAAATCAATGATTAATTTGACGGGGAGAAGGAAATGCAGTGTAAACAAAGGCCACAGAAAGACAGGAACTGTGAAAAACTGATACAGAATTTTTCTTTAAAATATTTGTGTAGAGCTTCCCATTAAAGAGCCTCAAAAGCAGTTTCAATTAAACATTGAGGGACATTTTAACAGAATAACAGAGTTGGAAAGGACCTTGGAGATCTTCTAGTCCAACCTCCAGCTCAAGTAGAATATCCTATATCATCACTGACAAATGATTGTCCAATCTCTTCTTAAAAATCTCCAGTGATGGAGCACCTACAACTTCTGAAGGCAAGCTGTTCCATTAATTCAGGGGTAGTCAACCTTGGCTCTTTTATGACTCGTGGATTTCAACTCCCAGAATTCCTAAGAGTTGAAGCTCATAACACTATTGGCTTAATCTACCAAAAACTATTCCTACAGAGCTGAACAAAAACATTGGAGAAATGTAAGGGTTACCTGGGCTGCACACTGCCAGGAAGGGTTCAGCATTAGCTAAAGATATCCTGGATTGAACCTAAGTTGTTCCATCACCTCTGTGGATGTGGTATCAACTGACAACTACTCCCAAGGCAGACTATCTGGAGCCCATTGAACCTCTCCACCCTTACACATGTGCCCTTGAATCCAACTTCTGGAGAAGTTGACCATCTTCTGCACCTGCCCAAAGATCAAGTATAACAAAATGCTTTTTGTAGCCCACAAGCGTATCCCCATATTCAAGTATGTTAATTCTTAAGAAGTGGGGATGGAGGGCCAAATCACCTCCAGCATATGGATAGGGAGGATTTATTTTCATTTGGTTTCACAACTCAGGTATTTGCGATAGAGGAGTCAGAACCAATACCTTTTAAAGACTTTACAGCTAGACAGAGTTCTAGATCAGTGCTTCTCAACCTGTGGTCCGTCGACCCCTGAAGATCCATGATGTCATCACAAGGGGTCTGTGAAGGCTTGAATAAACGTTATGATTTAAATCTTGAGTTAAGTCATGGTGGTACTCTTTAAGAGGTACTTAAAGAGGGTCCGTGGTGAAGAAAAGGTTGAGAACCATTGTTCTAGATAAGCAAACCAGCAAGGTTCTCATTGCTAGCCCATATTTACCCACATGTGGTCCCAGAAAACAATTTTCAGGAGCAAAGCACACAGACACACCAGATACTTAAGGACTTTGCTATACTTCAAGGATTCTCTATCCCAGTGTTTCTCAATATCAGCAATTTGAAGATGTGAGGACTTCAACTCTCAGACTTCCCCAGGCAGCCATCTTGGCTGGAGAATTCTGGGAATTGAAGTCTACACATTTTCAAGTTTCCAGGGTTGAAAAATACTGCTCCATCCATTTGAAACAGAGAGGGCACTTTAACTTACTCTACTATGTTTAGGGTACAATGAGTTTGATCACACAGAACAGCAAAACAGAAAGTAGTATCAATGAGAAAAATACAGAAATTCAACAAGAAACTGCCCCAGTAAAAATAAGTTTCCCATACCAGTGTGAATGGCCCAATTCCGAAATAAAGGAGCATCTTTCTCAACATCCCACCCATGACGTGCGGCATGCATCCAAGGAATCTGAAAAATCTTCTTTTCCTGGGGGTGGGGGGTGGGGAACAAATAGGAGACATAAAGAATTAGCTCACAAACTTAAATCTTAAGATACTTAAAGCAAAGCTAAACCACCCAGGACACATCTGTGGATGCTGCCAGGCTCTTTTAGATTTCTTTATATATTTTAAGTATTTTATTTTTTTAATGGCAAATTGACAATCTGCCTGTAGCATTTACTTTATTTATAATATTGCTTTTTTGGTTCACATACCACAAGCAGCATTCTTAGAAAATGAACACAGTGATTGTTGCAATCCACTTTTTAAAAGTAGGGTTTAGAAGAAGAAAGAGAAGCAGAGATGATAAGAGTATTCTGGGAGAGCAAATAAAGAGATGATACAATTTTTAAATAGGTGTTTCTCAAACTTGGCTTGTGTGGATTTCAACTCTCAGAATTCTGTTGCTGGTTGGAGGATCCTGAGAGTTTAAGTCACACATCTTAAATTGCCAAGCTGGAAAAGCATTTATTTAAATCTTTTAAAAATGAGGATGCTAATGAGACAGCTCTTTGTCATTTCAAATTGTGGTATCCTCCCAAAATAATATACAATTAGTACATGATGCATGAATCAATTAATATTAAGACTGAGGTACTTTAACTTACTCTACTACGTTTAGGGTACTAATGAGTTGTGTTATTACACTTGCAAAAACAACATTTTTAGATTTTATTGGTTTTTTGAGGGAAGACTTACCTCTAAAATCCTCCTCCTTTTTATAGATATCATGTAACTGTATACCTCCTTCTTTGATACAAAAAAGGGGAAGGCAAAGTTTCTGGTTACAAGTGAATCAGGTGACTGGCTTATCTCTGCTCTATAAATCAGAATTATAAACAACGGCTTGACTAAAGTGAGCATAGTGTTTGTTATTAAGGCTAAACAAAGCATTTGAAATGAGTGCTTTGTAGTGTGTTACCATGAGTAAAGCTCCCCTTTCCCGGAGAATTAATGCAGTCACATCTTTTGGAAGACTCAGGTATGCGCATTTGTGCACTTAATCCCAGAAGAAATTCTCTGTGTGCATGGATGGACACATGGGGGGGGGGACTTCTAGGCAGCAAAAGCAAAACAAAACTTTCTAAAGCAGTGGTTCTCAACCTGTGGGTCGGGACCCCATTTGGGGTCAAACGACCATTTCACGGGGGTCGCCAAACAAGGCTCTCCACCATTTTTTTCCCCCTTTTCTTTGGCCATGCCCCTGGCACCCGGTGATGTATAAGTGGTTGGGGGTCACCCCAACATGGGGAACTGTATTATGGGGTCGCGGCATTAGAAAGGTTGAGAACCACTGTTCTAAAGGATGTGGCTCTTTTATTTTGCTTGTAGTAAAATACTATTCAAAACATTCTTTTGAATGCTCTGCAGCCTTGCTTTAGAAAAGACAGTCTGGTTTGTTTCTCACTGCTTAAAAGTACAGGCTCGCCTTACCTCATTTAGCCATTTCAGCCCTGGGATTTTGTTTGAATTTATTTGTTCCTCTAGCCATGGCCGCATTCGCATTCTTTCCACAGGCATTGTTTCCTCTGCAAGAAGAGGAAGTACTGATTATTTTGAAAGCCAAATTCATATTTCCTTTTGATTAAATACTCAAGCCAATGAAGGCTGAAGGTTTTGATCTACAGTAAAACAATATCAAGGCCCTCATATCAACAGATTGAATCTTGGTTAATCTTCCCTGAATGGTTATTTAGTCCCTATGAGCATTTACCTTATACTCAATCAATGAAACGTCTACATCTGCTGACAATTTTCAACACTCCTTCAGTTTAAGAATATTCTCATAAGAAAAGTTAAGCTCTCTTTGAATCTTGCTGATCTCAAGGGAAGAGCTAAGTGTACCCCCAACTTTTTTCCTAAGATATCAGTGAGACATTTGGCATAAATATTTATACACACATAATTGGGAAAATATGTTAAAACTAAAACTGGTAAGGTTTCTAACCTTATACCCTATAAGGTTATACACTAATTGAGAGTTATCCAAGGAACTCAGTCCAAGTAGTCATTGGTGAATGAATGTGGATCAGATTGTTGGGCCCTTTATACTTTGCCAAGAATACATCAATCTATTTTTATTTAGTTTATTGAGATTAGAATCATATATCAGGTACCATAAACCATAAGAGTGTTCAGAGAGCAAAAGGAATCATAAATTAAGTACCTGCAATATAGTTCATCAGTAAAATGATACCATAGTAATTTTAGACAGCATATATTACATGCTTACAATATATGATTCAGGAATGTCATAACCTCTGGATGGATATTGTCATGCTTCAAGAAAATAAACTGATACGCTAGGCTAGGTTGAATAGAGAACTGATTCACACCAGATCAACAGATACAGTTAGAATGTGGACATGTAAGATTTCAAGAATTAGAGCGTAACCTTGTTTAGTCAAAAAGACACCAGACATAAATTAATTAGTAGAGCATTGTTCTAAAACAAAACAAAAAAGACATGTTTTCTCTTGGTTTATCATTTTATACATTAGTTCCACTACATCAAATAACTGAAGAGTTTCAAAGAAGCTACTATTCCTAGAATGTTTAAGGCAGGGTTAGAAAAATGCATCTTCCCAGAGGCTGTCAGATTACACGTCCTTTCAGACCTAGCCAGCACACTCAATTCCAGGGATAAAGGAGGAATACCATGTGCCTACTACTCATATTTTATGAGAACTGATTTTCAGGAAGGACTAAAAAATTGTTTCACATGCAGTGTTAAACTAAAGTATTAATTTCCCCTCCTTTAGAGTGGGCCTGAGGAATCAATTAGAAATGTCCCAAAGATGCTTTTTCAAGAGACAACTGGACTTTCTTTATTTTTTTTGTTTTTGAAGACATTTTGCTTCTCACCCAAGAAGCTTTTTCAGTTTAGAACTGAAGAAACTTCTTGGATGAGAAGGGAAATATCTTCAAGGAAAAACAAAGACAGCCCAGTTGCCTCTTAAAAACACACCTTTGGGACAACCATGGCCTGCATGAGTGAGAATCTCCATAAAAATCGATCAGAAAGTTACTTCTGCTTTTAAACTAGCTGAATTTTCTATAGGGAAGCTATGTTTCATTTAAACTACTGTATATTTGCTACAAGGAGATTAGGCTTTAGCTGTGATTTATGACTTGGCTTATTAGTAAGCTGCAGTTTAAACTAAACAGAATGGTCACTTTGGAGGAAGCCTAGCTAAATTAAAACAAAAAGCTAAGATTTCTAATCTTTCTGCCACAATGTCTAGGAAATACAGGTGTGCAAGGCCAAAGCTTCCTGCTCTCCATGCACTTAGGTTAGCACAGCCGTCCTTGTAGCTTTGTTGGACATACGTCATAAGGCCCAGTTGGTGTGATGGAATTTACACCTGCAGCAGCAGAGGAGGAGGATTTGGCCAAATCAGAGCTTTCTCAGAAAAGGACCAAGATCAAGAGACTGAGCTGGATGAGGAAGGAGGGAAGAGGTTCAGAGTAACCACATCCTAGAATCTCTCAGGATATGTTTAGTATCTTATAGCTTTAGTTTGGCAAGATTTTGTCCACTAAGGGTAAGCAAATAAAGGATTGGACTGCCTCTTTTCTGGGCTCAGGCAGAACCAGCCAAAAGGGTTCAAATGACTCAAGCTATTCAGAGGGATCATGGAAATGGATAATTGTTATGAGTGCCGCCTATGCTTGTTCTTACAATATGAACAGCTATATAAATCATTTAAAATAAGTAAATACATAAATAAATGGTTCTCTCCTCACTTTCCATACCCTGGAAATTAGCTAAGAAAAGTGTAGCTACATAAGTTAAACAAAGCATCTCAATACCTTCTCTTCAGGTCAGAAAAATTACTTGAGACAATTTCATAAGCAAAGTTATCACAAGTGCAAGAAACCCTGTTTATGTCCTTTGAGCATTTCCAATGATCTCATACTATCACCATCAGCAATTTGCCACTGGTATGCTAGAAGAAGGAAAACATCTAGTTCAGTGATGGCGAACCTTTTAGAGACCGAATGCCCAAACTGCAACCCAAAACCCACTTATGTATTTTTGGGTATTGGGTGGGCGTGGCCCATTGGGTGGGTGTGGCTGCTGTGGTAACAGCAGACTGGTTGGGACTAAAAAGTTCAATCAATCAATTCCAACTTTGCGAGATCTTTTTTTTCCCTTGAGAAATTGAAATTGATTGATTGAACCTTTTTTTTTTTGTTTGCACACAGCGGCGGAGGCCTAAAACAAAAAGGTTTTATAAAACCCAGCTGAAGGCCTAGGACTGGGGCAACAGTGCGCATGCCTACAGAGAGGGCTCTGTGTGCCAGCTGTGGCATGCATGCCATAGCTTCACCATCACAGATCTACTTGATTAGCAAATTCTGACAATGAGGGTTTTGAGCTTTATTATGACTCTGCTTTGGATGAAAAGCAAAGGAGAGGTTGCCACCCAGATCATGGATTGTGAATTGCAGCAATGTGGAGGACCAACTGGCTGGGTTTTGAAATCAGCAAATTCAATAACCTAAATGCAGTATGGCTTAAGAATAGAAGAACAAGAGTCAGCAGACGCATGAAGAGGTAGAAAGATAACATCAGCAACGTTAGTCGTGCTTGCTAGTTCCCTGTGACTTCAATGCCAAGGCAAAATTTGAAAGGTCCACCATATGCTTTATTGTACATGAAATCTACTCTGTAATAAAAACAAGGTTGTCCCTTTGGAATGGCACCAGGAAAAATAGCTACCACCGCTGGAGTGGGGGTGGGTATTTTCTTGTCTGCTGACACCACTGTAACCATCACACTTTCTGAGACTTACTTAGTATCCTTACCATAATATAAATGAGTATATTTTGCATGCATCTAAAGGGCTCTAGGGATTTCAGTACATTCACCTGCCAAATAGATATTGTGACCCAGGTAAAACATAAGAGTGAATTCAAAAGTGAGGGGGAGGTTGAACTGAAGAAGCTTAAGCTACCTTCTCAAGTGACAGCTGTACAAAACACAAAGTCAAAGATGAGACCCTGCAGACTGCTATAACTGCTCTTATTAAGCATCCCTGTCACTATCTGCATTTAGGCATTAGCATAAATGCAAACTAGACAAAGATTCAGGTTAGTCCTATATGTTGTCAACTTGCAGTCTCCCTGACTAATAAACATATTACAATATAAGATAAGGTTGTTGCTTCATGTTAGTCTCACCTGAAACAAGCCTTCTGGAACCAGATCTGAGGACAGCCATTAAAGTGTACTGTTCGTGGTGGCTCTTGGCTCTGAAAAAAATCAGCAGTGGGAGCCACAGAATTCACCCTTCACCAATTCTGGCCCAGGCCAGTTAGGAGATATTTACTAACCTGAATCTAAAGAACCCAGAGCAGAGAAACTATAACCTCATCTACACTTTCCTGAAGAGTAATTTAATTTCTTCTTTGTCTACAGGGCAGAAGAGCTTAAAGAGCAGTTTTCTTTTCTTTTTGGCTCTTAAATGAAGGGAAGTCTATCTGTGTTCCTGTTTTCTGTTTCAATATTCATTTTACAGAAGTTGAGTTGATGACTTTTATGGAAATTTTAGCCAAAAAACTATATAAGTTAGAATTGAAGCCTGAGACCCAAATCTGACAAAACACACAAATTTCCACAAAGCACAATAAAATATCAGTTTCATAGAAAATAGATAATGGACAGAGAAAAACTAATTCAATCAATTCAAAGAAATGTACATTTTCTTTGAAAGCTAATACAACCAGCTATTATAGAAACTAATCTCAGACTTTGTTTGCACAACACATCAATTCATAAGCTGGTTTATTTGCCTCTGGTGTAATCTATGTGGTGTGAAGTTAGCCATTACAATTGATAAGCTATGGTGTATCACTTAGCATATGTAAACTTTAGCAATTGTGTTTTACTCAACAACTAATGGTTAACAAAATAATGGTGTAAATCAGCCACAAGCCAGAGAATATAGAATATGCTTTCTTTATCCCCTCAAAGAAATTACCTAGAAGCCTAGCAAATTGTATTTGTTTGATGATGTTATAATGCATGTCACATCACCTGTCCCCTGTTGCCAACATCCATGTGTCCCCTTTCCCGCTGTCCATTCTCCCTGTTCTTCCTACACACACACACACACACACACACACACACACACACACAAACCCAGTATGATGGTTGCTTTCTCTTAATCATCTCTACACCTACAATGCAGAAGAGAACAGAAGGTAGTACCAAGTACTTCTCTCAAGAGACTTCCCTATCTCTCCTAAACAGTTGCAAACTAAAAAAAATTCTCTATTGACTCAGCAGTGCAGATAATCCACTTCTCATAAAAAGTCCCACGTAGTAGAAACCCAGCCATAATATATACAAGAAGGTAATAATGAAGACCCATAAATACATCCATAAAAGACAATGTATAGTTTCAAATAGCATCGTTACTCAATTTTGTTCATAAGCAAAATTGTGGCATCAAGAGGGCAGTGGCCACTTACAACAAAGAAATAATCGCACACCAGAGCATTGTAACAGGTTTATGATCTTG